ACTGAGCGCCATATTGCCTCATACATATGATTTGTGAATCAGTCTGCAAATTACCTGACCATTCAGTTGAACGTACTTCTACATTGCAATTACTAGAGACATATCACAATAAAAAAAAATCAACACCAATGACAAAAGTCATTCAACTAATTTTCGGACCGATTTGCAAATCAGGTGCACAAAACAATGTGGGACACACACATCCCTCTAGGTGACGTCATCATATTATGACATCACTCTAGTTGTGCAGACCCCCCCTCTCCAAAAAATCATGACTCTTCCAACTGCACTGCTCTTCGCAACATACCATCCCAATTCACCAATTCTTTTTATAATTAGAAGACCCAAGTAGGCCACTTGCAAGTCACACTGCTTTTTTTCCGAGGGGTTCTGTTTTTGTGTGTATCCGAGGGGTACAATTTTTTCACATACCCATCCGTACACGCCAAATCAGTAGTTTCCAGGGGGTGTGTTAGTTAACAAAAATCCGACACCTGAATGGTGGATTTGAATCCATAGGGTGTCATAACCTTAATATCCATCCGTAGGGGGGGTGTGGATAAAAACTGGAATGACCCGACATCTATCAACCGAACGCGTCCCGTACACACAGCACTGTACGCAGGGCTATCTGCGACAGGATCGCAGTGTCACTCTGCGAAAAGCACGATTCCTATTGGTTGGTGGGTCGAACAGCGCGAATCCCAATGGTCGATGTTCACTGCATGACTTATAAAAAATTAAGTTTTAAACGGTACGGTAAAAAAAAGTGTGTAAACACTATGTACCGGCGGACATGCCGCACTTTTCGGTGATCGGCAAGCACATGGAAGACAAATTGTGGGACCAAACAAATGACACATGGTTTACGGTGATTGGACACATCACACCGCTGGCTAGAAAAATTAAATAGTGTAATGTGCACGTTGGTCTTGGCTGCCTATTTACGGTGTAATGTTATCGCCATCTTGGAGTTGTAAGGCTCATTAGCATAGGCGGCAGCTTCAAAGCGAGTGGAACGCGAAGTACTTTTCACGCGTTCTGCAACGAATGTTGTACGTCAGCTTTGACTTTGTTGAGTGCATCAGGGAAAATAATTTGCATGCAGTGAAAAAAAAATCATTCACGATGTGCAACGTTTTGCCATGACAGCAGTTGTTTGCAATCGTCTGCCTTCGTTTAGATCATAAACGGACGCCAAACTTGTGGATTAGCTGGTATTTTAACCAGAAATGAAATACGTTGTAACAGTTGTGAAAAGTAAACAAAAACGGCGTTGGTTTGTGGTATGAATGGAATTATTTTTGTATCATAATTTTCGAAGTCAGTATTACTGAAAATTATGGTTTATTTTTTTTTAATGAACGCCAAATTTCGGTGGTCCATATTCAATTGATCTTAATGTAGCGGGAAGGGATTTTTTTTATCTTGATTTTTCAATAGTTGATTAAAACGGTTACTTTGTACCTTGATTCATCATCCCAGCTTTTCGAAATTTCTGA